TCTTGAAAAAGTGGCATTTTTTAAAAGATTTCAAAAGTGTGGCATTTTTGTAAAATGGTATTTAAAAAGTGGCAATTTTTTGAAATTTCTCTTTAAAAATATAACTCTTAAAAAAGACGACATAACACTCGTCCATGAACAACCACACAAGTAAAGTTTGAAACTGATATAAGAAACGAGCATCTACAAAACTAGAATATCGAATCCACATCCACAAGTCATCATCATTGTACACCAGCTGACAAAAATGCACTTCCGGGCTGACGGTTAGCCAACGGACCATGGCAAGATAGAAACTTGTCGTTCACACCATCAGGATCAATCCTCTTCTCTTGCCTTAGCTTTGTGTAATCAGCACGGTTAAACTTGGTGAATCCCCTGAAAAACTCCAAACTCAAATATCATCAACTCGAAGCCTTTTGAATAACAAAAAGAAATAAATCGAATGAGAGAGAAGTATTAATAATCATACCACTTCTTGTTAACAAGGATCTTTTGACGACCAGGGAACTTAAACTTAGCACGTCGAAGAGCCTCCTGAGCATGATGTCCATGATTGTCTTTGCACCGAACAGAGAGAAGAACATGACCAATAACGACTCTAGCACAAGTACCAAAAGAACCTTTCATTCCGGTCTGAAGGTTATCATGCTCCAGCACAAGAAAGCATCTTGTTGATCCTAAGAACATGAAAAGGATGAACCCTAATTCGGAGATGGAATGCGTCTTTTCCAGCAGATTTAACCATGTACTTGTTGCAAGCAATACATGCGGCTTCAGGAGCTTCACTCGACACGTTTTCTTTCTCCAATGAAACCAAATGGACACAGTAAAAAAACTCATTAACTCCTTTCTTCTTCATACCGAAATCGTAAATCCTGATTTTTGGATCAGGAACTCCACGACAGTATCTGGACTTAGGGTATGCATGGCTTTCCCTTAATCTGACGGTAACATCTCGCAGGTCCTACAAATTACATATATATATCTTCAATGATTAGGTGAAATCCTAATCCACATGTAAACTCCGAGCTTAAGCAAAATCTAATCAACTGTTCGAGTGATTATTAACATCTCTCAGGTCCTACAAATTTACATATTCAATAATTTCTGATTCTGATATCCTAAGAAAGTAAATTCCGTGCTTAAGCAAACCTAAAATGCGATTTGCTTGTGACTTACTCAACTTAATTAATCCTGAAAAATCCATTTCCAACAAACACTAACCTAGCAAGCACGATATGCAGTGACAAAGATCTACCCCCATGGAAAATCGATTTCATTCACAGAAATTCAAAACATAGATCAGAAAAAGAGAAGATTAAGCAATCGAGTTGGTTTGGTTCCTCTGTTGTTGGTGTTTGACGCCCTAGAAATGACCAAAACGACGGCGTTGACATTTTATTTTGAAAGAGGAACGACAAAGCCCAAATTCTCCACGTAAATGGGTTTGATTCAGGCCCATTAGAGAATTAAAGCCCAATATGAGAGCTAAAGGTTTCAACTCGAGAGTCTCGTTTATCACAGCGGTGAGTTTGCATGGGATCGTTTTCGGATCCGGGTTCATGTCGTTTACTGATTTGAAGAACGCTCTTCTCCATTTTTACTGTGTTTGGTGGAGGATCAATGATGCTCGGAAGTTGTTCGACGAAATGCCGCAGAGGATTGATGTTGTTTCGTTTGGTACTTTGACTAATGGGTGTCTTGAGGTTTCTAAAGCCTGCATTGGCTCTGGATTGGTTCAGGGATATGCGGAAAAGCTGGGGTGACCGTTAATGTCAGTACGCTGCTTAGCTTTCTTTCGGCTACTGCTGGTGATCTAGGAGACTTGTCTGGAGCAGAGTCTGTTCATGATTGCCATGAGAATCTAATGTGATTTGATTTATAGAAAACTTACGTTTTCTGCTGATTATGCTTTCGGAGAGGATTACTTCTTCTGCTGACTATGTACTAGTATACCTAAGTTTTTAATAAAATATCAAATGAAGAAAAACCTATATGATATGATATTTTTCTTATTCTCTTTTAGGAACTC